ATATGTTTATTGTAGCAATTAATCATGTCAAATTCGTGGTTGATATTCAACTACACGAGTTATATAGAATTATTGTTATTGCAATTTGTAATTACAAATTAGTAATTACTAATGTTGTCAAATTCTCAATTAAATTAAAAATATTAAAATTTTTGAAATTTGTATAGTATTTCAAATTAAAACTGTAAGTGAAGTTTTTAAACTTTTTCAATGTATAAGACACTTGAATCTATCTTATACTCTTCTTCATTCATTAGTTTAAAATTAGGCCTGAAAATTTTAAAACCTTCCTTCTTAATCTCAACAGTACATCATATTGTTATAAATGTTTACAAACTAAATATTCAAACTTTCTTTTCGATATTTTTACTACCTTAAAGTCGAATTACAACTTAAAAATCTAACTGTTTTATAGCAGAAATTCTTTTAGAAACAATATGTTTGATTTCAAGGTAGTTCAAACTAAGAAATTTCACAGCTATACTTTAAATTATAACAATTCAAAGTTGAAACTGTGTGAAAAAGAATAAGTTTGTCTTTAAACTAGTTCAAAATAAGAAATGCTACAGAGCTGTACTTTAAACTTTAAACTATGGCAATTCAAAGGTAAGAGAAGTAGACTCACTTAAAGTTACATCTCCACTAGCTGGCCAGCTAGTAACCTTGCCCGACACCGTTTTCACGACGACCTGGTATGTTTTCCCCGGTTCTAGATCCTTGAATTCCCATTTACTCTCGTCATCCCGATTTCTCGTGACCGGTGCAAGTCTTCGGTTGCCCCCTAACGAAATTTGATACTTATCGAATTCAGAGATTCCTTCAGGAGGATTCCAAAAGACGCGGAAAGAAGTGGACGTTATTGAAGATTTATCGAAGGTGACGTTCAAAGGACGCAACGGTACCGTTCGATATTGGGCTGTCGTTGGAGCCGAAGTCTCGTCCTCCGATACCGTTTGCACGGAAATATTGTAAGCTCTACCTGTAATAGTCAACAGTGAAAAAATGATTAGATCGATATTGAATTATTTAATAAAACATTTTCATTCTTACTAAAAGTGATCAAATAATGCGAAACTATACCAAACAGCATATCAATAATTCGTAAATCACGTAGAAAGCAGTTTGGAAAAATTGTTGAAATATTTTTGAAGGAAACTAAGCTGTTGGTGATTTAATTATAATAATAACTGTAACTGTGTAGATAAATTCTGATGAAATTGCACACCATGTAGCATATTAAATTGCCATGAAATAAAACAAATCAACAAAAGTAAACATTTCCACAGACACTTGTAATTTTTCTCTTGAAAACAAAACAAGTGGTTGGTTTTCAAAATTTGAATTATAAAAGTATGCTATTACTTTCCTTAAAAATGTGTTAAGAGTCTGAGGATGAAAATTGGACTTGATAATTTCTGTACAAATTTTTTCAAATCACGGTTCTCTAAATTAGTAAAATTTTATAAGATACCTTACCCTAATGAAATTTTTTGAAACCGTAGAATCATTCTCAAACTTTCAATTCATGTGTTTTTCCTTTCAAATAAAACCTTTACATTACAAGCATGATTTATTTAAATTCTTTACCGGGTACGAGTCCTTTGAAGGCCGCCTGTGCTGGCCCAGGTGGTTCCCCCTCCTTCTCCACATAAAGAACAGATTCTATGGCATCAGCAGGATCTATGCTAACTTTGTAGTGGGTGTAAATCCCTGCAGGATAGGGCGGCTGCCAAAGGACCAACAAGGTCGTTTCATTTCTGAACCATACAATAAACTTCCCAGGAGTGTTGGGTTCTAGCAAAGTTAACATAAAATGAAACATGAAACATTTCTTAATTAAGTTTTATAATATTCCATTATTTTATTTTTTTGTACATATATGTATATGTGAAGAAAATTAGAGAAATAATTCTGTCACACATATTTTATTACATGTTAATATTAAAAACAACTATTATAATATAATTCTTTTAATCTTTTTTCGATAGAGAATTATAATTGATGGATTAAACTAATACTTTTTGAGTCGAAATTAAAAACATTTCTTGGCAAATGAAAAAGGCGAAATTAAAAACGGCATAATTAAGAAGACAAATTAATGTTTCCTCTTAAAAATTCACAGCATATTATCTCTTTATATTTGTAATACTTGATTAGAGGAAGCATGTCAACTAGTATCTACTTCGAAAGGTGCAATCTGTAATATTTCTACGTGTATGCTTATACTTAATTATTGTTAATAATATAGAATCGATAGTGTACTCACTTGTGGTAAAATTTCTACTAGTGTAAGCCACGCTTTCTTTGGTGTCTAACACGGTGAAAAGCTGAAGAGAGTAAGTTGCCCCAGGAATGAGATCGCGAAGCACATAAGAGACTGCATCCGCAGGAATCACGCTTGTTTTTGGATTTCCGCTGTCGCTCAAACTTTGCACCCTCAACCGGAGGCCGGAATAATTGCCCTGAGCTGGTGGTGACCAATAAACTACTGCAGTCTTGCCGTTTCGTACAGAAACAGTCAAATTCGACGGAGGATCCGGCGCTGAAAAATGAAACAATTAATCAATGCATTATAGACCATTATCACTCGAAGCCCCATCGCAACATTAAATCCAAAATAATTTTTCTGACTTACAGTATTTCCATTTTATATGACTTAGTACGAAATTGAGTCTTGCGACTCATACGACATTTTTACAATTTTTTTTAAATATAATCAAATTTGATAATGTAAAACTTATTTTGGAATCTGATATAACAATTTTTTTAATACTCGTAACAATGAAAAGATTATATTTATTTAGAACTTTCGTCAATTTATTACAATGTTTCCTTGAATTATGAAATTTGTCCAATCATTTTCCATGAAATAGTTCTTGTAAATTTAGCAACTTTAAAATAAAAAACAATGTGAAAACGGTTATTTTGACTGGATCGGTATTTAGGTTTAACATATACTAATCAAATGTTGATTGCTTGATTTTAAAAATAGCTGTTTCTGATGTAAAAAACAAGTTCATATCCGATATATTTAAAGATAATTAGAGAAAGTGTAATAAAAGTGCGCAACTTGAAATAATATTAATTTCGTGCATTTCATAATTGTGCAGCCCTCTCTAGCTCTTTGTAGTTTAAACTACAGGTTCTCATTTTAAACAGTACCCAGTATTAAAATAAGTAACAATTTTTGTGTGCAATTTATTCAATATAATTTGTACATATAATTTTTAATTTTAGAAGTCGAAGATAATTTTAAGGTCATATTATTAATCTATTTATTTTTCATGCGTCAGGTGATGTTGTTACAGAACTGCTAAATGTTATATTTGCAATTTATAAACACGAATATTTCATAGAAAAATGGTAAACACCCAGGTAGTCAGGCTTTAGTTTAAAAATTGTTCACTGTTGTGTAAACTACTCAATCTATACAAGTAACACTTATAAACAACCTAATTATGCATTATGTAAAAACACATACCTGGCTTTGAAAATTTAAAAAAGTACGATCTTTGTATAAGACACTGTTTTGCTGCATATTTGTCAACTGATAGCATTAAAATTGCATAGGAAATATTTTTTGTATTACTATAAGTAAAGAAGTTATATTTAGAAATTATATTTAGATGGCAATTTTTAGGTGGACCACCCTATATGTATATTGTACACGTATTTACCTGTCGTGATGGAGGCTGTCCATGTTCGCCAATCATGGAGGGTACTATTACTATAATACAACCAAAATTCGTATCTAGTCCCAGGAAGACCATCTTTGAACTTGATAACATCGCCTATGTCAGTGGCGGCTATGGTGGTATTAGGTGGTGGATAACCAACAGCAGGGCTGTAATCTAAACGATACCAAGAGCCTCCTTGGCTCAAGTTCCCTGGTATCTCAATTGCGAGATCGGCCGAATACGTTACCTGAACAAAAATAAAAATAACTCGGTTAGAATTCTTGTTCACTTTTGCCAATCTCCTGTTGAATGTCGATTCATTCATTGCTCATTTATACTTTGCATAGTTGTTTAAAATATCATGGAAATTCTTTCATTATTTATTCATAATTAATATGTTAATTTTGAAAAAATCAGTGTGGATTTGCGATTCGTTAACTGACCAACAGTACTTCTGGTGGTTAATTGTTGGACATCTATTTCTACTATTGGATCAGTAAAAGAATGTAAATGTAAATTAATAGCATTAATAAATCTAAAAAAGTCCGAGATTAATGTAGTAATTAAGATCTTTAATATATATATAATTTAGACTTTAGAGTAACTCGTTTCGTCTCTTATTAAGCAATTTGAATTTAGAAAGAAACTTGTAATTCGAAACTGTCGAGTTATACGAAGTTTTAATGATTCTGTTACGACGATTATTCTCTTCTTTTAGTCCAATCGTTTTCATCATTTTTTTATTTCTTCTTTAA